AGAGAGAGAGAGAGAGAGAGAGAGAGAGAGAGAGAGAGAGAGAGAGAGAGAGAGGGATCTAAGGCTCTTGAAGAAACAAAGAATGAAGGAAATAAGGAAGCTAGTTTGAACAATAACAACAGCATCATAGACACAACACAGAAGAACAGCCAAAAGAAAAGCCCTGATTTCTGACTAGGACTAAGGCCCAACTGGGATGAAGAGCTGAGCACTCACAACGTAACCGCAAAGCTACAGGACACGGTCCTGCGTGTGTGCAGCCCCTGCTTGTCCTTGCTTGGCAGAAACTTCACTTTCAGTCATTTTCCTATTGTTGTACTTTGAGACTAAAACCAGGAAGACCAAGGAGCGGGGCGGGCATTCACCTAACCAACAGTTACTATACCAACCATTACTCCATTTTCCTTTCTACTTCTTCAACCTTTTTTTTTTTTTTTTTTGCCTTTCCCAATAATATACGAGCTGCTGCGGTCTTTGTCTTTCAAATGCACCGTTCAAAGCAGTTCCCTTTACCTTGAAAGCCTCTCAAATTTGCACTGTGTGACGCAGCAGCCCCCAGCCACACAAGCCACTGAGCAACTCGAATGTGGCAAGGCTAACTGGAGAAGTGGGTTTGCAGATTGGACTTAAAGAACTCAAAAAGCCACCGACCATTTCTGCTCCTTTAAACGGTGGTCTCTCATCTCAAAGTACCGAAATGCCAACGTGAATCTACAAAACTTAAAAAAAGTTTGTGGTTGAGAGTCTAAGGCTACAATTGAATAGTGCATACGTCTATTACCAAAATCCAAATCCTATAAACATCTGCCTCGCAAACGCCAAGTTCCCAATATTTAGGTGTGGGGGCTACCAGTCTGCCACGGCCCCGTCCTCAGATCCCCAGCCTGCACTCATTTCACAGGACCCAGTTGGAGATAAAGAACCCTAGTATACCACTGTCAGGTTATAGCCTTGTCTAATACCCCAAAATCAGTCCTTCGTGTTCAACCCCAACTTCTGAATATTAATCAGTCTACCAGTATCGCCTTTCCGCACTGGATGGCTTCTTTCTTC